GGGTGGCGGGTGGAGGGCGGGGGGGGGGGGGGGGGGGGGGGGGGGGTTGGTGATGGCATCTGTGGTGGTGTTGAGAGTATGAAGGGCACAGAATGGAAGCATCCCTGGGAATCCTCGCTGGCTTGAGCCTGCCCGCATTTGGGTCTCCCTGGGCCGTGTCCCCACCCTTCTCCCCCTCACACACATGAGCCCCCCGCTCTCCCCCTGCTGTCATCAGGTGACCAACGAGAACAAGAAGGAGTATGTGAACCTGGTGGCGAGGCACAGGATGACCACCGCCATTCGGGAACAGATCACTGCTTTCCTGACTGGCTTCTGGGACATCGTCCCGAAGGAGCTCATTAGGTGTGTAATGGGTGTGGCGCCTTGTGTCGGTGGAACTTGGGGCATTGCAGGGGTAGGGGTTCCCTGATGGAGGCAGCCTGCATTGCATCTGAAGTGCCATTGTGTTACGAGTTTGATGTGCGAGTCACAACCCTCAGTATCAACACCGCCATGCACCACGGCATATTCACCCCCCCCTCAACCCCTTCCACCACCAACCCCCCCATCCTGCAGCATGTTCAACGACCACGAGCTGGAGCTGCTCATCTCGGGGCTGCCCGAGATCGATGTGGCCGACCTGCGCAAAAACACCGAGTATACGGGTGAGAAGGGGCATGGCGCGTGTGTGCTTGCAGGGGTTTGTGAGCGTCTGCAGTGGATGGGCAGGTGTCCGGGGCACCGTGCCGCGCCATGTGTCGGCCTGGCATCAGGTGCAGGGCCCCTCACCTGCACTCCCCCTCAAACTCACCCACCCACCCCGGACCAGGCTACACGGCTGCCAGCGCGGTGGTGCGCTGGTTCTGGGACGTTGTGGACGGCATGGACAAGGAGGACCTGGCGCTGCTGGTCCAGTTTGTCACGGGCACCAGCAAGGTCCCCCTGGACGGCTTTGCCGCGCTGCAGGGCGTCCACGGACCCCAGAAGTTCCAGATCCACAAGGCCTACGGGGACGTGGAGCGGCTGCCCACAGGTGGGGGGCGGGGCGGTGGGTGTCGTCGGGCGTTTGCGGCCGGCACCGTTGAACAGCGCAGGCTCACCCACCCCTCACCACCCCCTCCTCCCAACAGCGCACACCTGCTTCAACCAGCTGGACATCCTGGAGTACGCGACCAAGGAGCAGCTGAGGGAGCGGCTGATGATGGCGCTGCACGAGGGCTCAGAGGGTTTTGGTTTCGCTTGATGTTCCGTCTTTCCTCCCTGCGCGTGCACCCCCCTTGTCCAAAGGCCTGTGCGTCGCTTGCGAACGGCACTGTCGGCTTTACACGGTCGGGTCTGGCAGTGCGGCTTGAGGTTGGTGGTGTGGCAATACATGCGAGAAGCAAGCGGGGATGGGGTCAAGACACGAGTCAAAGGACTGAGGGGGGGGGTGAGGTGTATGACTTGGCGGGCACCCCTGCCCCAAATGTGGGGTGGAAGGGTGGCCCAGAAGGCGGGGTGGCCCCTAGGAGGGCTGGACGGGCCGGGAGAGGGTGTGTTCAAGTGCGGGTGGGGATCGGGAGGCGTTGCAAGTACATGTGGCAGACCTTGAGCGACCTGCACGCTGCGCTACTCTCGTGGGGGGGGGGAGGGAAAGAGCGTCGCTGCCGGTAGCATGATGGGTAGAGGAAAGCCCGCGAGGCTGGGAGAGCCCTCGCTTCGCTGTTGGTATCTGGTAGGACAGGGGGGGGCAGCACTCAGCGTCAGGAGGTGGAAGCCTGGTATCCTCCTTGGCGCGGTGGGGGGGGGGGGATGGGCGGAGCGCCAACCGACTCAAACCCTCCGAATCGCCCTCTTCAGCTGATCTCAGCCTCGATGAGGTCTGCGGCGCGCCCGGCCCCGTCCTCGGCATAGATACGCCGTGCCAGCCGCTCGGCGTTAGCGGTGTACTCCTCCAGGTTCCCCAACGCCTTGACCAGCAGCTTGTTCAGGCGGGCTGTGTGTGTGCAAGGGAGGGGCAGGATGGGGCGGTTGGATGGATGGGAATGGCGAGGGATCAGGGAGCCAGCCAGGGTGGCTCCACTCGAGCACCGCAGGCTCAGCAGGGCCAGCAAGCCATGCAGCCAGCCCAGCTCGACTCTAACCCCCGTCCATTCCTGCCTGTCCTCCCGGCCCGCCTCCCTCCACCCCTCACCACCACTTACCCGCGGAGAAGGCGCTGATCTGGAGCAGGGGCCCCGGCGCGACGCGGTGGCGGATGAGCAGCTCCGCCCAGAAGCGCTGGTCAGTCATGGGGATGCAGGGGATGGCGATGCTGGGCTTCCCCGCCAGCAGCACCGAGTGCAGCGTCCCCGCGCCCCCGTGGTGCACCGCCAGCGCGCACTGCGGCAGCAGCGTGCCGTGATCCACGGGCTGCGTCAGCATGTGGAAGGGCGCGCCCGGGGCGCCCCCCGCCGCCGCCCCCGGGGTCGTGTGGATGACCGCGCGCAGCGGCGTCCCCGACCGCGCCAGCTGGCAGACGGTGACCTTGACCTGGCCCAGGATCTCCTCGATGCGGTCGCCGTCAAAGGCGGTGGCCAGCATGGACCCCAGGCCAAAGTAGACCACGGGCACTCGGGCCGCCGCCGCGTCGTCCAGGTAGCGCTGCAGACCCAGGGGCAGGCCGGTGCCGGGGTCCAGCGCCTCCAGCGCCGGCGAGGGCAGCGTGGAGGAGGCCAGCGAGGAGGAGCTGGCCCCCGCGCCGGCCAGTGCGTCGCTGTTGCCATGGCCAGTCACGCGCGCGACGGCGGTGGTAATGCCGCGGCCCGACCCCGGGCTGTCCTCGTCGGAGGGGCCCTCCCCCGCCATCTCCGCGGGCGTGGGGATGCTGAGCGCGCGGCTGAGCGCGGCCCCGGGGGCGGCGCCGCCGGCCTGCGGGTCGGCGGCGCGCTTGAGCGTCGCGCGCCGCGACACGGCCACGCTCTGCTTGCGAGCCAGGCGCGCGGCGACGTCGGGGCGGATGGTGAAGTGCGCGGGCGCAAACACGGCGCCGACGACGTGGAGCTGGGGCCCCCAGTCCGCAGGCTTGGGCAGGACGGAGGGGGAGTAGACGTAGAGCGTGGTGCGCCCCTCGCACCCAAACCGCGCGTCCAGGCGCAGGGCGGGCACGTGCAGGCGTGCGGCCGCGGCGTCGGCCAGGCGCTGGGCGACGGGGAGGTAGATGCGCTCCACCACCAGCTTCTGCCCCGCCACCCAGGACAGGGAGTTGAGGCAGCCCAGGCCGCGGCGCGCGCCCAGGCCCCACCCCGCCGTCGGGCAGGCGAACTCGGAGGTGAGGTCCATGGGGATGGTGTGCACCAGCAGCACCCGCGTCCGAAGGCCCAGCAGGTCGGGGATGAGGCCTGCGCCGCACAGTTGGACGAATGAGCTGAGGACCAGCACCGTGGGCTGCAGGTACTGGCACAGCGCCAGCACGCTCTGGAACCTGGGCGATGGAGGGGGGGGGGATTGAGGGGAAGGGGAATCAGATTAGGCAGTGTGGGAGGCGGGGCAATGGCGCGGTGGCGTGCACGCGGGTGCGCACGATTACAGGAGGGCGGTGCGTACAAGACGCCAGGTGACAGAGGACAAAGCAAGCACTCCTCGGGCACAAGCAACCCCATCACCACCACCACCACCACCTTTCTCCAAAGACCCCCGCCGCACCATGAGCCGAGGAGGCCCTCGTTGAAGAAGGCGCGGGCGGCGGAGAAGACCTTGAGCGAGCCGGCGGTACGCATGGCCATGCCCTCGGGTGTCTCCATCACCTCCTTCTGCTCGGTGGGAGGAGGAGGAGGGGTGTGCACAGGACGCCTGTCGCCCCGGCCTCCTCCGACATGCGCGAGGCCCGGGAGCCCTCCGCACCAACCCCGCCCGCTGAACACGCCGGCAGCCCCGGCCTGGCGGGCCCGCGCCTTCCCTCTCCGCAAAGGACCTCACCTGCACCGAACGACCGATGTCCGCAAACTCCAGGCCTTCAAAGCTGCCCACGAACTCTTGGAACTCCGCGGGCGCGGCCATCGTGACGCTCCAGCCGCGTTTCTTGAGGGTCTGGCCCAGGGCGCAGAAAGGCTGCACGTCCCCCCGTGTGCCCATGCATGTCAGAATTATGCTCCGGGTGCCCATGGCGCCGGCTTCCTGGGGGCACCGGGAGGCAAACGGACGGTGCAGGGGCGGGGGCGGGGCGGGTGCTCGGCCACAGCTGTACTTTGAGCACCGGAGGTCTTACTTTGTGCGTCGCGGCTGTAATGTGGAGAGGTATAATCCCACCGTTTGATAAACGGCAAGGGCGGGGTCTCGGACTTGGGCGACACTCTGAGTGCGACCGCCTCGAGCGGGTCGGCGTTGACACCCCAGCTGCCTCGTTCCTCCAATGGGATCCAGATGAGATCTGCGAGCGTTACGGGCGGGACAGGGCGGTCTCAAAGTACTATAATGTGTCCACAAATGCACTGTGACTTGCACAATTGGATCCTGGGTGGGGCAGGTGCATGAAGTCGTTCCCGGCCAACTTCACCTACACCCCGCTCGTTCACACGCGCTCATCCTCAGCGACTTACCAGCAAAGCGTGGGGCCTGTTATGGGGTGCCAATGAATGCCACCCCACGATTTCAACACAGTTGCGACGTGTCTGGTACTTTTCGTGTGCAAATTCGTGCCTGTACATTGCGGTCTTGCTTTAGGAGTCGCGTTTGGATACCATCTCTTCTAGTCACTGGCCTCGGAGGAGCTCCGCAAGCCTGTTCGTTCCGACGCAGATGATCATGCAGGGCTGTTGTACTGAAGTAATGATGGTAAAGAGATCTGGGTCTCCCTCGAATTTGCATTCCGTAAACCGACTTGGGACTTGTTTGGCGGAGGAGTGTTTGCCCGCCGGTCCAGCAGCTCTGGGCGTCCACTTTCCCCAACCAACGAGAAGCAAGGGATTAATGTACAGGCTTAGTTGTATGCCTGCAGACCCTTGGTGCTTCAATGTACGTACAAATGTCTCCAGATGCCGGAGCGTAACTGCGACTACAGAGCATCACCACCCCTTGCCCCTGTCAGACATGCAGCCTCTCGCGCGCCTTGACCAGGGGGCATGCACGGGACCCATGCGGAGCCGATTTGGGACGCCGAGTCGCATGCCGTGACCGATTCCAATGTTCGAAATCAATCTTGCTCCATGATGCAGCGGGAGGGCCATGCCGGGGTCCATCCCTCGCCCGACATACCTGAACCTGTTGGAGGTTGGCCAGCACGAGCCCGGGCCTGTGAGGTATTCCGCCGACCAGCTACGCACCTGCCTGCTCCTGGCGGGATGGAAACCCAAGTTGGCTTCCAGGGCTGTGAATAGGGTGTTCCTGCTGGTGCAGGAGAGGTTGGCCCTTGCCCCCGCTGACCCGGCCAGCCTGGTCGGGGGCCTAAGGGAGGCCTGCCCCGGGCTCTGGGAGGCCAGCCTTCCCCGCTCCGACCTGGAGGCCCTGCTGCTGGGCGGGTTCACCACCCAGGCCCCGGACTCAACCCTCCTCCCAGACCTCCGCTCGGCCATGAGGTGCGTGTTGGTGTGAATTTTTAGTGCCCCGCTGCCGACGCCGGGCAAGGGCAAAGCATGCTGGCCTGGTTGGCCATGGCCCCTGTTGTTCCCCGGCATTGTCCTCTCCCCTTCACCATTTCCCCTCTTCCCCTTCACCAACCCCCCCCCCTTGCATCCATCCACCGCCGATGTTACCCGCAGCCTGTCGGAGCGGCGCACCTCCGTCACCATCCTGCTGTGCGGCACCAGTGGCACGGGCAAGTCCACGCTGGCCTCCCTGCTGGCCGGCCGCCTGGGCATCCCCGCCCTGCTCTCCACCGACGCGGTGCGGCACGCCCTCCGCGCGTTCTCTACCGACCCGCTCCTGGCCGCCTCCAGCTACGCCTGCGGGCCCCTGGTGGCCGGCGCCGGCGCCGCGCCCGGGGATGAACGCGGGGCTGCAGTGCGCGGGTTCAAGGCGCAGTGCGCGGGCGTGGCGCCCGGCGTGGAGCGCCTGGCCGCCGCGGCCGCCGTGCGCCGCCAGTCCATGGTGGTGGAGGGCGTGCACCTGCGCCCCGGGTGGGCGGCGGCGATGGCCGCGCGCCTGACCTCTCCCACCCACCACGTCCTCCCCTTCCTGGTCTGCATCGCCAACGAGGCCAAGCACGCCGAGCGCTTTGCCGTGCGCTCCAAGACCATGACCCTGCGCCCTGACGGTGGGGATGAGGCGGGGGGGAGGGTTTAAGGGGTGAACTTTGTGGAAAAGATCCTGGGTTTTAGAACAATTATTGAAGTACCACCTGCCATGCTGCTGGTGGGGAGAGCAAGCGGGCAGCCGCCTGACACCCTCGCAAACCTCCCCGCCCTCGAGCATGCTCATGCCCACGCCCCGCTGTCACCCATCACCCCCATGTATTCCCCTCAAATCCCCCCACCAATGGCCCACCCCCTTTCATCACAGCCAATCGGTATGTGCGGCACCTGCGCTCCATCCGCGTCATCCAGGACCACCTCCTGCGCGACGCCGGCGCGCACCTCATCCCGGTGGTCAATAACACCAACGTGGACCGCTCATTGGCTACCATCCACGCCACGGTGCTGGCCTGTCTGCGGCTCGGGTCCGCTGGGGTCACAGGGGCCCCCGCCCCGCCTAGCGGCGCCGAGGCGGCCTGCGCGGCGCTGGCCGGCGAGTTCGCGCGCTGCCGCGCGGCGGCCTGGTCCGGGCGCGCGGCGCTGGACGGCATCCGCGCCGCGCGGCGGGGCGCGGGCGCGGGCCCTGGCGAACCCGGTGCGGGCAGCGAGTCGGCAGGGCCGTCCACCTCCGCGGCGCTCTCGGCGGCGTCCTCGCCGGGCGGCGCCCCCTGGCCCGGGGCTGGGCGTGGCGGGGAGGGGGCGGTCGACGAGAGCTGGTACGCCAGCGACGGCGAGGAGTCGTGGGCCGGCTCCGGCTCCTCGGGCGGCGCGGAGCGCGACGGGACCGGCCTGGGCTGGGCTGAGGGCTCCGTGGAGGAAGGGGAGCGGGAGGAGGAGGAGGAGGAGGAGGTGTGCGGTGCGGGGCCGGTGGGGAGGAGCCGATGACGGGTGTAGGAGCCAATGACTGGTGCCGGAGACTGGTCGGCGCAAAGAGGAGGCCGCGCGGCTGCGTTTCGAGTGCCTGTGCGCTGCATGGGCAGCCTCAGACCTGGGAGCCACGTGCTGCTGTGTATGCCCTGGCTGACGTGCCTGGCACCGTGATGCATTGGGCAACGCTGTACTGCAGCTTTGTGGGCCAAACCTTATGGGAAGGGGAAGGCGTGCTCCCAGCCCGGACCGCAGCTGGTCTGTAGGCTTGATTCATTAGCATGCAGACCAATCAGCGTGCTGAGCGCGGATGCAGGCGCTCACAAGGCTGTGAGGCAGCAACAGCCTGGCAGCTTCATTCTTCGATAGATGCAGCATCACGAGCGTTCGGGGTATTGGACACGAGTGCGCAATAAAGTTAGGCCAAAGCCACACGTTGCATGACACGACAGCATGCGGCATCGCCCCGTTGCTTGTGAACATGCTGTCTGAGCCAGGTGGCCTCCGCAATTAGTGGTTTCGGTGCCCAAAGATCCCAAGCTGCGCGATGTTGAGACGGACTCTTCGATACTCCAAGACATTCACAGGATGGCAAGCTTGGGAGGCGGCTCGTGCATCTTGCTCCCCATCTTCCACCTCCTCGGTGCCTCTCCGGGTAGCATGGACGCCCTCCTGTACGAGGCCCTCCTCACGGGGGCTCAGCACACATTCTCGGCCAGAAGGTGATTTTGGAGCACAGATCTCCAGTGTCGTCGCCTGTTATAGCGCTCTGAAGATCCCCTTTGCAATGTTCACAAACCCTCGGCCCGAACCTCAACCCCATCTGTCGGCCCTTCCACTGGGCCAGAGCACGACCCCATGCGGTCTGCCCTGATCAAGGCGTGCGCGCTGGGCCTGCTGGGCCTGGCTGCCATTCGCACCGCGCCGCTGATGGCCAGCCACGGTGTCGGGCACACGCTGCAGCTGCTGGACGCGAAGGAGCCCTTCCTGGTGAGGGCGGGCCTGGGGAGGCTCCACTTCCTGCTGAACCTGGAAAGCACGCACAGGATGGCCCTGGAGAGCCAGGCGGTCCCCCGCATCCTCTCACTCCTCGATCAGCCACGCATCGACCCGGGTGAGGGTGGCGAGGGTGTGGTGATGGGGTTTGATGCATACATCAGCCATGTAGATTACTTCACATGCGAGGTGGAATGTAGTGGCCTGTTCCCTTGTCCCCCAAGGAAAGGCGATGTTCTTGAATTGTCGGCAGTCAGTGTGCACCACACTACAAGCATTGCCTCCCGGGGAGCATGTTCAAGCTTCTCCTTCTATATCCTCTGGGGTTGAAGTAGCCCTTGGCTCCCCGTTTTGAACTAGCCCACCACTCACAACCTCGACAACTCACCTCCCTGGCATTCAGGTGTGGCCCACTCGGCGCTGGAGGTGCTGCTGCGCCTGGCGGAGCGCCAGGAGGGTCGGGAGGCTCTGCTCGAGGCAAACGTGCCTGCTACCCTTGCCACCTTTGTGGCCCGCATCGAGACGGGGAGCGAGAAGCGGTCTGGTGCTGTGCTCCAAGCAGCGCGGGAGCTGGCCCTCCAGCTCCTGGGACCCCTGGATGACAGGGGACAGGCTTGAATTGGTCCAGCGCCAATCTTGACGTAGTGCCCTGATGCATCTGATAAAGATGGCTCTCAATCAAGTGATCGATATCGGCGGCCCCTGGTGCATGGGGCCGCCAGACTGATGTGCCCCCAGGTGCGCCGGTAGCTGCGTGGAAGTCAAGCATCGACACTTGAACACAATTTACCGGAAACTCACTGGGCAGAGGCGATACCTGACCCATTCGATCAGCTAGCCGTGTCCGCAAGAAACAACAATCAGCGATGAATTCGGCATCATGGGAGGCAAAGGAGCAGAGGGCGACCGGGGTCACCCCGGTGGGAGACGCCGAACGTCCAGCCGGCCTGGGAGGGTACCACGGCGATGCCAGGCTGAGCGCACAAGGACTCAATCCGGCCACTCAGGAGGCGGAGGAAGCGCGTCAGACGGGATCCAACCCTGTCGCAACAGGTAGCGGGACTTGGTGCCGGAAGCCTCGCTTCCACCTCCCGCAGGCCAGGACAATGTCACCACCGCTCACGCACCCTCTTCCCTCCGCACAGTGCCAGTGGAGCATGAATCCAGCCCTCAATTCAGGAACTTGACGGCCCCTGGTCTGCCAGATCCGACCCCCGAGCAGAGGCAGTCGATGTACGAGGTATGCTGGGTATGAGGGCCGCTGCTAACTCCCTGCTTGCACTGCCTTATTCTTGCACCAGCTTAGTGTCTGTTCCTGCCCACCACAGAGCTGGGATGAGGGCATTGAGCTTCCCGCCTGGGCCGAGAAGTTTTCAGAGAGGACCGCCGAGTTTGGTGTGAAGGCGGCGGACGGCATCGTGACCGCCAGCGAGCAGGCGCAGTCCAAATTGACAGCTCTGGGCCGCGCCGCGCTATCCAAGGCAGGAGCCCTGGGTTCCCAGGCCAAGACCAAGACACAGGCCACGCTGGCTGCTGCCGCCACTACATCAGGAGGATACCTGCAACAGGCAGGCCAGAAGCTGCAGACAACACCTGGAGGCAGAGACCAGCCTGCTACAAGGCCTCCCGAGATGCCCTGAGCCTTTAGCGGCAACCTCTGATCAATTTACATTTAATTTTAGACCATATTAAAGCCTTTTTAGGAATGTACTCCTGCTTTTGTTCCTGCTGCGGTGTCATCCTGTGGCCCATCACAATTGCATATTATGGCGATGGTGTCTGCTCATGGCCCCGTTCAACAAGCTGAGGCAGAAGCCTTCAGCGGTTTTCCAAGAAGGGTGGTGTTGAATAACACCAGGTGGATTGTGTGGTGGAGGAGACGATTTACTCGTCCTTCTTGCCGGTCTTCTTGGGCAGGAGCACCGACTGGATGTTGGGGAGCACACCGCCCTCGGCGATGGTCACGCCGGCGAGCAGCTTGGACAGCTCCTCGTCGTTGCGGACCGCCAGCTGGATGTGGCGGGGCACGATGCGGGTCTTCTTGTTGTCGCGAGCGGCGTTGCCGGCCAGCTCGAGCACCTCGGCCGCCAGGTACTCCAGGACAGCTGCAAGGTACACGGGGGCACCGGCACCGATGCGCTCTGTGATTGGAGCGGAGGGGTAGGAGGGTCAATAACGGACAGCTTGCAAGTCTGTGTCTCGGACAGAATGAACCAACGACACATGCACTCACCAGCGTAGCGGCCGTTCTTCAGGTAGCGGGCGATACGCCCGACGGGGAACTGCAGGCCCGCCTTGGAGGACTTGCTCACGGCCTTGCTGCCGGAGGTCTTTCCCTTTCCGCGTCCAGACATGATTGCAGACTTTTTGGTGTGTGGAGAGATTGAAGACTTTGGGATCGGGAGAATTTTGTGTTCTGGTTGGTCAATGTCCTTCGCCTTTATACTCCGAGCGCGTTGTTAATTTGGGGTCGCGCAGACCGATCCGGGGGGTCATT